GAAGGGTTCAGCTTGCAAATTGTCTTCGGGGCTGAGAGTTGGGGGAAGGGTGGGAAAACCCAAGAAATCAACTTCCAGACATAAATACAATATGGACAAGTCATAAACATTATTAAAGCAAGTCTATCCCTGCAGGGCAGGTTTTTCTTCATAATGCTTTCCTGATTACGCTTCCGCAAAGCTGGGGAAGTGAATAGTGGGCTGATTATCCATGGACCATGATCTACATCAGTGTAGAACTGTTTCCATTGTATGTGAGAAGAGAACTTTGCATATTTACGGGAAGGGAATAGCCATCCTGCTTCTTATTCCATCCTCAGCTTCACAGTGGGCCTGATCCAAAACCCAGCGATGTCAATGACATTCTTTGTTTGGGCTCTTCTTCTGTTCCGCATTACCATTGCAAAACCTGCCCTGTTTATCATCTTAAATATACATGCCATAAATAGACCGAGTATTGACGCAGTGTGTGATCAACCCCCAAATGATTTATCAAACGCTTTGGAAGCAGGTAGATGAATGGGTGGGCAACTGGGAACTATTTCTGTGCAAAGGTCCAATGCAATGGCGAAAAAAAAAAAACACAACCCAAACCAAAAATGACTGACTGACATATTAACATAATTCTCTGTTAAAAGAAAAAAGACAAAAGCACTCTTGAGGGAAATCCTAGTCATTTTACATGTTTTCCTGTATCTAGACTCCGGTTGTCTTGCTCGTCTTAGTCCCACTGACGTGGTTAGGATTCCATATAGAGCGTGGCACTGCTCGATGTGCGAATCTGAAGCTGATCCTTGGTCAATAGACAGAAAGAATCAGACTTTGTGTAAAGATTTGTGTTGGCAAGTGCATCACATGAAAGGCCTCTTATGCTTGATATGGTCAGAGTAGAAGAGAATTTTTAAGCAAGTGCACAAGGTGCATTAGTTTCCTTTCTCAGTGATGAGATGACAGAGTTTTTCCCAACATCTTAATTAGCATTCATTTACAAAGTATTAAACCATTTTTTCTTTTAAACATAAAGATCAGTGCTAGGAGCTATACATTCTGAAAGATAATTGCAGCGTGTAACTCTGGTGCCGCAACAATTTATACTGAAATATTGATGGATATGATCCAACCTTCTTTTTTCCCCCTACAACAATATTTCATAATCTTTTAAATATCTCTCTCCCATAAACTGCAGTACAAAGTGCATGCTTTTATGCAGCATAAGTTTAATGCATCTGGGTACTGCTTACCAAACGAAGGATTTCAGACAGATTTCTGTTTTCAGGAATTTTGTTTTCAGAAATAAAGCAGTGTAAATATGAATTTTATGAGGGATGTGAATAGCATAAGATTCCCAGAAAGTTAAGGGCTCTGCTTTAATATTAGAAAGCCAAAGTATCTTTTCTGATTAACATTCCCATAACTAAGAATGAAAAACTTTCATTTTCAAATAGAGATGTAATGCTAAGTGACACTGCATAATCTCCTTAGGAGTCACTCTGCAGTCTTGCTGTGTGCTGCAGTTCTAGTGTTGGCCAAAGACTTGTGTAACGAGATCGAAATTCAAAGTGGTTATACCCAACACAAAGGGAATATCGGGGGGAAGGATGCCCAGCTCCTAAACAGGGCTTGGAACAACAATCAGTTTGAGTGGTTTGCATGTTTGCCCTGAAAATAAAACTTTGATAAAGCAAGTAACAGTCATCAATGGGCAAGATTTGGTCAATTTATAGAAATGGTGCAGAAAGCTGTTGGGTGTGCTGGAGGAGCTGTTAGAAGACTCCAACTGTTGGGTTAATTGGCACCGAAAGGTTTTGGGGTTACCTTTAACACTGCCATTGCTTCCTGCTCTATGAATGGAATGGAAACTATAGAGAAGGACCTGTGAAATTCAGTAAACACTCCTTGAATTTGCTCCAGCATCGGTGAATTCTGTACTTGGGATTTGTGGTGATCTGAGTGCACCACCCATTTAGTGTGCCATTCTCCGGTGCTTTTCTGCTTACCTGCACAATTGCCTTTCCTACTTTTGTCTGACAGCATTCGCTCTCTTGGTACCTCGTTGTTGCTTTACATATGCTGTTTTTACATCCCGTCCTGTGTGCTAAAGAATGAAGCAGAACTTGTACAGGCAGCACTTCTGAACCCTGCTGGTTCACCCCGGCTGTCCTGGAAAGTCCCCTGCGCTGACAATGAGACATAGATCAGCCTTTCTTCCCGTTCAGCCCTTGGCTTCTTTGGGAAGGCCACTAAGATGGATGCTCGCTGTGATAATGGTGCTGACATTTGCCCACCAGGAATTGGAGTGAGCCCATCATTTCATGTCCTATAGGTCTCCAGTAACAATCAGACGCTAATGAGTGCCAGGCCATTAGGGGCCTGGCGTGCTCTCCAGCGAGTGTCCCCAGCTCGGTGTCCTCAGCCCATTCTCCATTGTATCTGCTAGGTATTGCCACAGTTTGCCCCGTCAGCAGAGACGTTGCACAACCAGCCAGTGACCACCCAGGGCTATTCTGTTTAGGCTGGGTGCCATCAGTTCTGGGCAAGTGTACAGATCATGTCTCAGGCTGTGCCAGACGCACTGTGGTTCCTATTCTGCCTGTGAGCCTGGCTGAACAAAAAAGGCTACATATATATATGTATGTACCAGTTCTGTTCATGTCACATACAATCTGACGCCCCATAGATGGTCTTTGGGGATTAATGATGCATCCAGTGCTGTACAGCATGGTTTGGCAACTGGGAGGGCTGGTGAATCCTCTGCCTGTCTTTCTTCTGCAAGTCTTTGAGTTTTTTTTTCTGGCGCATACATGCAACGAAGTACGAGATGCAAATACTGCCAAAGCTTCTTGTAGAATAGATGACATTTATATTGTTATGCAGTTTGCTGATCTAAACATACCATTGCCTTGCCTTGATAGCCCAGGGCAAGTGCTAATCAGCTTCTTTCGTGGGCACCATGCCATCGGAAAGGGTGAACACAAATAGAGACAGTATGTGCATCATCTAGGAGCCTTGCAAGAACACGATTCCCAGCTGAGAGTATCCAAACGTGTCTGTCTCCTGAGCTTGCATGTTGGCATGTAAAAGCTAAGTGACAGCGTTAAATATAATGTATTTGGAATAAATCAGGGTTATATTCCTCCGTTGCTTCAAGCTAGATTTCCTTATGTAGGTCACATCGTCAACTGATGGAAAGCGGCACAGCCACGCTGAAGGCTCGTGGATTTTGGAGCTGTTGGATTTTGATGTGCTGAGCATCTGGCCCTGTATGACTGCACTCTTGCCCCACATGGTGCTCTGCATAGAGGTAGAAAGGAGCCTAAGCAGAGCTGTCCTTCTTATTTTCCCTTCTGGGGCATCACCAAAGGCTGCTTGGTCTAAAGGGTAGCACACAGGATGAGTTTGGGCTCCTGTAGTGTATTCGTGGCTCTGTTGCAAATACCGAGGAAACAAGAAAATGGGAAGTGGTGCGGCCCTGCAGCAGGTGCCCAGTGGGGCTGAGGGATCTCCATCCCCAGGGATGTTCAGGGCATAATGAACAATGCCAGATTCAGCTTTGAGGTTAGCCCTGTGATGAGTGGAAGGGTGGCTTAGATGACTTTCAGCAATCTTTTACAACCTCCATGCAAAATACTTTTTTTCTACAGGTCTCTGTTGCTCATGAGTTTGTTGTGGATTAGCTGGCAGATAGGTCCAGCTTCTCCATCCTTGTCCCCACTTTCAGTAGATTCTGAAGTGCCCCCCATGCCATGTCCTGCCTTCACCTGCCTATTTCTGTACGGCCCCCTCTTTCTTTCTGTGCCATCCTTTGCACCCATGTCCTATTTGCTTTCATATTTATAGGCAGATTGGATTTTTCTGGCTGTGTTTTCAGGAAAATGCAGTCTGTGCGTATCATATCTAAACAATTGCATTTAAAAAATCCTTAAGACGTACTGAAAGTGGATACTTACGTGAAACAAGAGGGGGCTTTGGATGTACAAGTAGACCTCTAATAGCTGGCTTGAATTTGTTTTGGTAGTCTGGCCCTTATCCCAGCCTTTTTGAAAGATAATCATTGTTCAAAGATTTTCATACACCACAGTGTGCACTTTATACTTCGCTATGTAATGTAACCTTCCATGCATTCAAGGAAAACAGTTTACAGAGCTAATTGCCAAACTCTGCAGATATGATACTTAAATGGGTTATGTTAGATAAGAGTTTATGCTAAAGAAGAAAAAAGGTTCTGGAGGCAAAACATTGTTTAGGGAATATTGATTTGCATGAATTAATGTTTTCACTTCAGTTGATGGTTAAAAATGGATACTTGAGCTAAGCCACATTTTTAGTGTAACATAAACGCATCCTTAGCTATAAGCCTGGGGTGCAAACTGAAGTCTATTGATTATTTTGTTTTAAAATCTGCAAACTTCAGCTGGCATCGGGCCAAACTATGCCTAAGATTATTTTTTTTTTTAATTGAAAACAAACCCTGCGTGGACTCAGAGCTGGGAGGAGCCTTTGCAGTTCTCATTGTTACTTATTCACTGTAGACAATCCTCTCCACCCTTCTGTCTCAGCCTACTTATCTGTAAAATTAGGGGTAGTGTTAATGATCCACCTACCTGACACAGTTATTGTGGAAATCAAGTGATGAATATTTGTATGGTTTCATGCAATATTTGTACAAAGGTGCTGTAAGACCGCGGTGTATTACTTGTTCTGCAAGGAGCTGCCATCTGCCACACACGTAGCTCACAAAGATTTAGACTGAAAGGGACACTTTGGCCTTAGGGAGTTAAGCAACTTTTGCAGAATGCAGACTTTTTTTTGCTGCAGATTTATTACTTTCTTCCTATAATTTAATTCAGAGTATAGCCCAGCTGTTAGTTGGAGCTCTGTTGGCCCTATAGTTTGGGGTTATAGCACAAACAAGCTAAGAGGTTTAGCACTGTTTAGAAAGTGTTAGTAACCAACTAGATAAAAAATTTGAGTTTAATTTACATTCATTTTCTCCCATGTAGCTAAAGGTTGGTGACTGAGAGAGAAGGAACAAACCTGAGTGTTTTACAGCAGCCCAGCTGAACAAATGGTACGTGTATTTGTTTTCCATAATTCTGTTTATCTATCTTGTAATTTCTGTCATAATTACCATGATCGTTTCTAAAGGATGGTTGTAGATTCATAGCTCTAAAATGTGAGAGACGGAGAGTTATATTCATACGAGTCTGGTCTGAGACAATGAAAGTAGAAGTGTAAACGTGGAGCTGTGCTCGGTCAGCAGAGCATTGAGGGAGTGAATCCGGGGCTCCGAAGGTAGGAGTCTGGCTCTCCTGGCAGTCAGCAGAACCTCGAGGTGATGGCTCACAGCTTCTGCGTAGGAAGCTCTGCTTCCTACAGGTGAGGTCAATGCCTGAAGTTGGACAAGTACCTGGAGCTATGCACCTTCTGCCAAGGTACCGCTGCTGATTTCAGGACACAAACCCTGGAGAAGGCAGCACAGCCTGTACTGACTTCAGGCGTTGTTTCAGCGAGAGGCTGTGGCTCTTAATTAACTTTATACTGACAGGCATATCCTCTGTGCTCAGCTGGACTTGCATATGTTTCCCAGTGTACTGAAATACCTGCATTCTCCAGGCCTGGATGCACTACTCTTTTTAGGCATATATCAGACTTTCAGGTTGTGAACAGAGCTGGGATCTCCAGCAGTCAATGGCTCAGAAAATTGTAGAGGTCGCATCTAATTCCACTACTGAGTGTGAATTTCTTTCTCTTTTAGGATCAACCAATACTGGTGAGGTTCCCTCTGTGAACTGGACAATGGAAGTTGCCAACCCCAATTCACGGTCGCTCTTCCTACTGGCAAACATCCTAAGGAGGAGCTGTTTTTAGGTGAGACGTTAAGCATTCACTCAATGGAAGTGATCGGGTTTTTATTTCTATTCGAAGACCCTTAGTAATTGTGAACTGGGCTGACAATTAAGAACTAGGAAACTTTATACCCTATTGCTAGGCTCACAGGTCCATTGCTTCTGGATAGATACCTCTTTTCTCTTTCTTCCTCTGTTTCTATTCTTTGAATTTTTATTTTTTTCCATTAGCTCCTGCACATCTTGTGATTTGTTGCGGCTAAAATCGATCTCACCTGTGAATTTCACACTGTACCTGAAGGCACCACTATGTCTCTAAGTGTATGTGGGGTGCTGGCACTTGTGCAGGTTTTGGAAATAGAATGAAGAATGGCAGGGTGGACTCAGCGCTGAATAATCATGTAACGGGGAGGTAACTCAAAGAACTAATCAGAGACAGAAACATAAAAAGAAGTTATCTCCTGGAATGCAGAAAGTCAGGTAGAATGAAAGGCAAACCTGAAAACAGGGAATCTGTTTTACATCAGTGGAGGCAGAGGAGTGCCACCTGGGATTAGCTTGGCCATCGCCAGCGCTTGGTGCTGCAGATAACACGAGTTCCATAGCAACGAATTTCTAACTTGAAATTCCTGGCTGCAAGGGTGCGTGTTAACTAGAAAATGGACTTGTGTTTCTCTGAAATCATTAAAAAAAAAAACTAGCTTTATTTTATTTTCCACCCACCATCCTGCTCAGAAAATGGACTTATTTTTGAAGTCCCTAATTAAGCATGAAAATTTAGCGTTAGGCAGATGCTGTCATTTTCTTCCTACCCCTCCAGCAAAAACCCACATGTGATGTGTTGCACCGGGCTCCGGGGTTGTAGGATGGGTTGTGAGTGATGAGCATCTGCAAAACCTGCTGCACATGCCCAGGGACTTGCAGCCAGATGAGTCATATGTTGCATGGGCCAAGTTTAATCCCAGAGAGAATGTTACAACACAGGAAGAAACCCCTGAAAATAACAGGAATTGGTACAGTATTTGGGCCGTAAACACAGGTTAGAACAGTCTGGGTATTTGCTTTAATCCTCTCTGATTCTATTTTGAATTGTAATGTTCCTACTTGCTAAACCACTTTCCATTTTTGCACTGTTTTACCGTGACATAAGGAGGAGGGATATTTTGGAAACTGGAAAACTGCCACTTGCACCAGAATGGCATGCCACTAATTTTTGCAGTTTTTTTGAACTGCGCGTTGCCGCTCTGCAAGCTCTGTCAGCCTCTTCTTCTAGGATTCCCCGCCGAGATCCCCACCCTCCTACAAGATGGGACATGCCCCAGGGTAGAAGAGTTTTGTTCCCTTCTCCTTGGGCTGTGCTGTCTCACCTGCTTCAAAACCAGGCACTTTGAAATGATGCACCGAGTACCTGGGAGGGCGAGGGAGTTGGGATTAATGGGCTCTTCCTCTCTGAGACCCAGCAATATGGACTCGGTGGGCCCAAATGCTGGCAAAAGATCACAGGTGCACCCTTAATGTAGACGGGACAAAAATTACCGTGCAACGTGTATTGATGTAGTTTTGCAGCATTTCAAGCAAAGGTTAAGTGAAAAAGTCCAATTTGCCTCCGTGTCTCCACGGAGTGTTGGCATTCGTGGCAGCGAGGTGGCCAAGAACCATCCCTGGAGCTTGTGGGGTAGGTTGGAAGAGGGGGGGTTCTTGTGACAGTCCCAGCCAGGAAAATGCCCGATAATGGACATTTCAGTGGCTGACAAGCTACAGTTGCACAGTAGCTCATGACGAATCAATCTAAATGGTAGGTAAGAGCTGAAGATGAGGCTTGTTTCCCCCACCAGCCCCCACTGTATTGAAATATTACAAGAATCTTGCTTTGCACCTTCACTTGCTTGAGCGCTGCCATATGTCTGGGGGTGTTGTACTGGGCAGGGAGGTAGCCAGGTTGAGGGAGAATCACGAAGTGTGTGTGGTGACATAGTGAAGCCTGTTTTTTAGAGGGGTAAACAAATCTCACTTCTACTTTTGAAAAAAAATCTTTTTCCCTGAGCAGAAGTTGGGAAAGTCATTTAATGTCAGCTAGTGAGTTTTAGTGGAGGCCTGGAAGAAGAAGAAAAAAACCCTCCTGTGTCTGCTTGTTTCTTAGGTACACCACATTACCCACAGCTAGTCTCACCACTCCCAAGAAAGTTTGTTTAAGTCCTAAAATAATTTCATTCCACTGGCCCACAAATATTCCCATTTGGTAAGCCTTATATAGAGTAATTACTGTTTAACATGGCAGTGCAGCTGGGTCAGGGCTTTTTTTGGGTTAGGAGTTATAAAAAGCTGTTTGTAAAAAAAAAATAATTTAAAAAAATACTATGTTTGTCAATCTGTCATTCTAAACAAATGAGTCTAGAAAACTTGTTAGTTTGCTTATTCTTTTTTTTTTGTCTTTTTTTTTTTTTCCTGCTTTAAGAGTCAGCATTCATGAGAGCAACTGGCATTGGTACCAGAGGCATCCAGTCATCGCATCCTGGTTTATTTGGATGTGTCTGCATGTCAATTATAAAACTGTAATTGTTAGGTAGCCAGGTGTTGTGGTGAGTGCTGTGGGGTGGCATGTGTGCAGGAAAGGAGAATGCTTTACCCAGCGGAGACTTGGGAAGCTCAGCTTTGGGGGCAGGTGCAAGGTGTGCACGGGCGAAAAAGCACCTTGAAGGAGGCGTCTTGGCTCTGTGCTCTCAGCCAAGCAGGTCTTTGCATTTTATGTGCCTGAAGCACTGCGCACGGAGCGGGCAGTTTGTTCCCACCGCTGCCCTGTGGTGTAATTAGCTGCGTCTTGCAGACGGGGAGAGCGAGGCGGTGAGAAGTACTGAGCTGCTCCTGATGACCCGGTGAGTCACGTCTTGGGTTAGAACTCAGGATTTTCTGGCTCTTATGCTTATGTGCATTTTTTTAGACCGTGCTGAGTCAAACATCAAAGTTCCTTCTAATTTTAATGACTTTGATATATACGTATGTATATGTGCATATATTTTATGTTTGTGCATATTCGGTTACAGATGTATGCATACAGCTAGAAAAAAAGAAAATGTAGCTATGTATATGCATGTGTCGCTTCTTATTTATTCCTAAAATACAGGTGTCTCTGTGGGAAACAAGTTGTTAAGCTGTTTATTGTACAATAGCTCAGGAAGTTGAGAGTATTGTATTCACTTATATGATTTCCCATGCTGGGTTGGTCATTTCACCTCAAAAATTAGCATCCTGCTCTGTTTCACAGAAGACCCCAATATTTTTAGTAATCATAGGAAAGAATGTTGTCCACTGGGACAGAGCGGGAGGCTGTGGAGCAGGACTCAGGGTTTGGTTGTCCTTTTCTACTTGTTTTATGGCCTGGGACCATTCTTATCACTCTTCTGTGCCTCTGTTTAATAGCAAAATGGGACCAGTAACATCGAGTTACCTTGGGTGAAACTATTAAAAGATGAAATTGAAGTTTGGAGACCTTTTACTAGCCTTTGACATCAGAGAAATAGAGCAGTTACGAGAAGTATTCCTGTGGTTTGGTTTTATTAATGATATGGACTCCTTGAGAGATTGTATTAACGAAATGAAGCTGGAAACAAACCAGAAGCAGATACAGACAGAACTTAAAACCTTCGTGGACAGTTACACAACGTGCTAAGAAAGGGTGGCTATGTTCTTGGATTGTTTCTTGTAAAAATTCTGAAATGCACTTGGAAAATAGCTTCTTCTCTACAACAAAAATTACAAGAATGCTGACATTCCAATAGTTTTTAAGGGAAGACAAATCTGAGAAGAAATACTTTGGGAATTATGAAAAGTTTTCAAACTCAAAATCCGAAAACGCAGTTGAACAAAGCCTCTTGGTTCAGAAATGGCTCTCAGGTTTCTTGACTCTTTGTTCTCCATCAGCTATGCCAGTCTGGTGGTAAATGGCAGCCTGGAAGCCCTGAGATCCAACCCTTGAACCAGAAGCAGGTATATCATGATAAGCAGAACTGGGGTGTGCAAACAGAGCTGTGAACACAAGTTTTCCTCTGCTTGAGCTCCAGCTTTGTCTCTTCTGCCCACACCACTCTGTACAGTCCTTCAATGTGTCCAGTGCCTCAGCATTGCTGTGGGATTAACAGCTAGCAGAAAATGGTCTGAGCACCCCGTTTCTCTGGGAGAGTCAGAGAGGTTTCATTTCCTCCCCTTCCTTGTGTTTACTGTTTGATCATCCATCATTTTATTGCTCATATTCACATACTCCTTCCTCTTGTTCCCCCAGCTTGTGCCTGCTGAGAGTTGGAGGTGAAGAAGTGCACACCCACCCTTTGTGCCATTCTTGCTGAGGACTTGTACAACGTGGCCATTCCGGGCTGAACGTATTTCCAGGTAAGGTAGCACCCCTTATGAGTTAGGTGGGGAAATGAGCAATTAAAAGTCAACTGACCGCTGTAACAGTCAAAGCAGCACAGGTTATAACAGCTCTGCCTTTGTGTTGGGTATTTTCTACATGTCCATGGTAAGAATCTAATTATTTTTCCATCTACAGCAAATCTAATAGGTCCAGATAAATGTTGTTGTGTAGGCACTAACAGCGACTGGAAAAGAAGTTTGATCCTGGGCTGTCAGAGACAGAATCTTTTCCATTGTAGGTCGCTTCTTGAATTAGTCTGAAAGAGCTCTCATTTTATTTAAGAGGTTTTTATTGATCTACAGGGCTTTGTTCATAGGCTCTCTCTTCTTGAGTGTCTGAAGCAGGTTTAACTTATGATAGGATGGATGTCTTATTTGAGCTCATTTTTATCAACTCAGTTGTTGCTAAATGTTTTTCTTTTCTGGAAGGGAAGGAGGCACATGGTTTAAGAAGAGATAAAAATAAAATAAAATAAAATGTAGGTTTCCTTCCAGTCCATTAATTTTCTTTCATGGAGCTCTGTAGCAGTTCGAGTGCACAGTTGGGAGGAATCAAAACACAGACATCTAGACTATTACATAAGATCAAAAGGAGAACGGAATTGTTTTGAAGCTGAGTATAATGTGTTTGTCCAAAGCCATGGACGTTTTTGAGAACTCAGAACATTCTTCCTGTTCTGCTTTAGGATGAAACTTAGAGCATACAAACTGGAGAGAGATCCCAAAATACTTGAAGCCAATTAGGTAACTGTAGACTTTATTCAAAGTCCTTAATGAGTGAGGCCAAGCAGGGATTTGAACCTGATTTTTATGTGCGCTCTTTTCTCTTCCCTTCCTCTAACTTCAAGTTCTATCTTACATTGAAGAAACCATCCTTTCGGATGTCAAAAATATGAACGGATTCAGGTCAGACACTTAGGATTATTTTTTTTAACCACCCCAGTGTTTTGTGTCCAACAGCTCCCCCCAAAATAAACAGATAGGTTGGCTGTGGAAATTTCCATAGAAGATTTCCCTCTGTCTTGCCTCATAATTGTATTATTTTACAACAGTCTGAGTTACAACTCTTTCTAAATGGACCTGTGTATCATAAAGGACAGAGAGCATGTGGACTGTCCATACTAGGAAGATCTAGTATCACAGGACGATGTACATCGAATGTATGTACATCCAACCGCAGAGGACGGGCTTGCTGGGTTCACTGACCTCTTTTAATTTGAATGTGTGTCTATTAGGAACAGGCTAGAAATTGGCCTGAGCTCCTCCTGCTGCCAGTCACTTGCAGTCCTGAACAGAAAAGGAAACGCCAGTTTTTCTTCTCTAGGCCGGATGCTGAGTCACCTGTGTGGTGAAAGAAAATAGCCAAGGGCTTGCTATTTCACCAGCGTCCTGATGTGCCTGGGGATATTTCATCAGCTGCTTTGCTGGGGAAATTAAAGCTTTAAGGCCTCAGGTCAATGCAGTAGTTAATTGCACTTAAGTTGGTAATGCGCTTATCCCCTGGTGTGTCTGAGGTCCCCATCCATGATAAATAAGTTTTATTTTGTATTTGGTTTTAAAGCCATTGGCAATGTGTGTTTGTTTTGCACTGGTGCTTCAGAGCTGTTGTTTCAGGCCAGCGTTACTTCTAGTTGGAAACCTGTTGCAACTCATCTGCCTCTTCTCTACGTCTCATTCCAGGCCTTGGCCTGGTCTGTGGTGGCAATGGGAAACTGTCCCACCGCTGCTTTGTTTTTCTGCCCACTATTGGGTTTTTGGTGGGGTGGGGAGGGCCAAGCTGCAGGGATGCTGCAGGGTGTAGGAACCACTCTTGCTGAGCCTCTGAAGGCCGGCAGTGACCAAGGAGCACTATTGTTGTAGCTGTCCCATTTTCATCCAGGGAAGCTTTTTGAGGCCTTGCGGAGCGCTTCCATGCTCACTGCCCACCTCAGAAGGCTTCTGGAGGCCTTCAGACCGAGTAACATCCTACAGGCTTGCTGGACAGGGCATCACTTACGGCACTGCAGGAAAGGTTTTCCCCCTGCTATGCACCATTTTGTTGTTTTCAGAGCTGGTTGCCCTAAGGAGTGCCCAAGCTGGGGATGTTGGTTCAGGTGGGCTACCGAAAAGAAGCTGTCTGTGTGCAGCTAGCTCGGTGCTCAGGCACGATGTGAGAGCCTTGAACCCTTGAGCCGTGCTGGCTTACCTATGAGGCCAGGATCTGAGCATCTTTTTGTGAGAAGACTGAGAGGGGATCTCATCAATGTTTACAAATATCTTAAGCGTGGGAGACAGAGGGATTTGGCCAACCTCTTTTCAGTGGTTTGTGGGCACAGGACAAGGGGCAATGGCCACAAAATGGAGCCCAGGCAGTTCCGCACCAACATGTGAAAGAACTTCTTCACGGTGAGGGTGATGGAGCACTGGGACAGGCTGCCCAGGGAGGTTGTGGAGTCTCCTCTGGAGATATTCAAGGCCCATCTGGACGCCCACCTGGGCAACCTGCTTTAGGGAACCTGTTTTGGCAGGGGGGTTGGACCCGATGATCTCTGGAGGTCCCTTCCAACCCCTACAATTCTGTGATTCTGTGATCTGGCCTGAAGCTCAGGAGCGGAGCGAGCAGCATCTGCATTTTGCTGACAGCTCACTGCAGCACAGCTTTGCTATCAGCCTGCCATCCGTGCTCACCTCTGCGAGCGCGGCCGATACGGTTAATCCGTGCTTATCTGCATGCAGAGCCATAGGCGGCGAGAGATTTCATGCAAAGTAGCATCGCGCAGCCCTGCTCCTTCTCGCAAACTATCGATTACGTGTCTGATTTGCTCTCCCCTGATAATAGGCCATAGGCAGAAGCCAATGGGGCGAGGAGGAGGAAAACCTGTCATGATCATTCGATGCAGCCGGCGAGCCAATGGGAGCAGTATGCCCGTGGATTGGGTTGGGAGAGAGCAAGGGTGGGGGAACTGTCTTAGCAACAGCAGAAAGCCACTGTCCCCCCTCCCTCCATGCAACCATCGTGGAAAGTTCCTGATGATGCTCCTTAATGTATTTGTCTCGCTCACGCCAAGTTGGGACGTGATGTGTTTGACTTTGCCGCGTGTGCCAGCTTACTGCTCCTTTCCACGATCCGTTGGAAAGGGAAGGGTAGGAGGGCATCTTTTCTTTGCCTGTCCTATTAAAATGATTAAGTGAACTGAAGGCAAAGTGATCTGTTGCTGGATTCATTGCTTGTGCAAGCGCAGAGGAAGAAAGTGAGTTTTATATCATCTTTTTGTGGTTGGTATCTTCTTCCTGACATCTTTCCAAGACAGGTAAAGCAAAGGCAAAGCCAAAACCTTTTGCGTAACCCAAGCTTTGTGGCTTTGTTGCACTGCAGGGCAGGCAGTCTGTTGTGGTAGTGGGAGCTGGACACCTTGACTCTATTCTCAGCTCTGTCCTTATATGAAGTTAGGTGAATTCCTAGCCTTCAAAATCCAGATTCCCCTCCCAGGTTGCCGAGCTCTCTGGTCTGGGAATTAGAAGAAAAGAATTCAGTGGAGCCCTCCCTGTGATCTGTGGGCTGAGAGAAGTCAGTCCACAGACTGCACTGCTTTGCCTCTTATCTTTTATCTGCCTTACCGCAGAAGCTGTTCTCTCTGACTCTCTCCTGGTCAATCTGTCATTGGTTTAACCAACCAAAAATGAAAATGGCAGTTAAATTTGTCGAAACCTTTTGAACGTTTATTGGAAGCCAAGCATCGGCACTTTCAGCACTCCCTCGAAAATGACCTTCGTTGTCCTCCCCTCACCTGCTGCCTCCTCTGGCTCATAAGCATTCACACGTTTATCTCACTATTTGCATGCTGATAATAGACATAGATTTTGTTAGTCCTGCATCTGTCGAGACGGCGGGAACAATAATAGAAGCACCGTCGGGACCAATATATATTGGTCTTAGGAGTGTGCCCAATAATGTCTGGGTCAGGGAGCCTTTAACTGCAGTGTCAGGGAATTTAGTCAGCTGTCATCGCTTCTTAATTAAAAATAGCTGAGACTCACTTACATTCCATTGCTGTGTGTTAGCTCATTTGTCATCTTGTCCTTTGCTCTTCAGCAACCCCCCTAAAGACCCTCAAAACCAGACAACGGATAAAAATGAAGCAGGTAGGAAGGCAGAGGGCGGATAACCTGTGCCATGGGCTGCTCTTTGGGTCAACAGTTTGCAGAAGTTGAGCAGGATTCAAAGGGGATTGGGACACAAAACAGCACAGTATGCAATGTACCCTGTGTGTATTTTATATCTATAAAATTAGCCCCTGTACATGCACGTGTCAGGGAATAAATCAAACGCTAACTGTCCTGGGGTTACTAAGAACTTTCCTTGTGGACAAACCAGCTCATATTTTCCCATCTTGAGTTTCCAGCACCTTCCTCTGGTCCAGTACTCCCAAGGACAAAATGTTTTTACAGTATGAGACTATCAGACCTTTCCTATGTACATAAGTGATTGGATTCCTTATTCCTCGCTAAATGGAATTTAGCAGTATCTGTGATTGCTATCACCTTCCAGTAGGTTTCACTAATTTATTGGTGATGTTCCTAGGGGGACAGGGAGATGGGAGGTTACACCGAGGTTCAGGAGCTGCAGAGGGAGATAAATAGCATGCTGTAATATCATTACTGAACGAAAATGTAACCCCCTCCCCCTGCCAAAAAAAGAGAATGTATTGTGATTCGAGTTAATGCGCAGAGCCAAGGGACAGTTTTGGCATCGGGAGAATTTTTCTGACTTCCTTTTTACAAGTAAATCAGAGGTGGAAGGGCATGAGACTGACTAACTTCCTGAACTGGAATTTGCATCCGGACTACCATATTTAATTGTCTATGATTGACCTATCCTCCATGAATTTTGCTAATCCATTTTTGAACCTGTTTATATATTTGGCCTCCACAGCATTGGGTGGTGATGAATCCCACCATTAAATCACATATTGTTTGAAAAAGTTCATCCAGGATGTCCTGTACAATGCTATCAATCTGTCCGGTGAGTAAATGGATGGCTGCTGCCAAGGCTTCAGATTCCCTTGGCCCAAATCAATGATAATTCCCCTCGAGACCTCGTCCATTCCTTGCACTCGAGAAGGGAAGCAGCACCACCCCTCTTGTGCTTCACCACCCATCTGGAGCTGCAAGGGGGCTGTGTTAGCTGCCACGTAGGGCAGCTTCTGTGCTCCCATTGCTAAACAGTGAATTTTCTGGCCATACATAGATATTACTCTCAGGATTGTGCTCCTGCTGACTTGACGGAAGGTCCAGTGATACTTGCTGATGTTCTTGCTAAGATTGGTGCACTTCCCATGGAGGGAAAATTCACATGCAGCTTGGGGAATGAACCCAGATTAGTTTGACGTTCTCTTCAATTTGCTCAGATTTTTTAAGTCTACTTGAAGAAAGCTGTAGAACAATTTGTAGGAAAACAAAAACAGGAGAAGACCCCTGCATTGACTTTGTATTGTTTGAGGATTCTGACTTATTTTGAGGTGTACTGACCCAGGAAACCAGAGTCAACAAGTTCTGTACATATGAACCCTAAATCATCAAGCTAAGGACAGACCTTCATGGTAGTGGAGACATTTTCAGACTGCAGTTTTTTTTTTTTTTAAACTAATTAAGCTCTGATGACTTCAGCTGTATTTTCAGCCTCTGATTAAGGCCATGATACTAATTAAACTCTTGAATTATTAAAAATGCAAATAGTCAGACCTGTGTGCAACAGCAGAATTGTGTTTCCATGCTCCAGGACAGCAGTGGGAATATTTGGCAGAATCCCTTGTGGTGACAAATTTTTCTTCTCTTTTTTAAATGGCTGCGCTCCACTTGATGCAGAACTGAAAACATCAGCTGCTGGGGTAAATGTCTCAACTGCCTTGCAGCTAGACAAGGAAGTTTGATTAAAACACAGCAAAGTTTTGGAAGGAACCCTGGGTCTCTTGACATCACGGCTGTGGCATTTTCACTGGATGGGCTGTTGGGATTGAAATACCATTTAGTCTGTAGAGAGTGAGTCTGCTGTCAGTAGCAAAACTCTTGGAGCTGCATTTAGACTACTTTGTTGTCAAAGTTCAAGAGCATGATAAATTATTTAGACCTCTGGCTGTCCTACCAAACCCCATCTCTCTGGCATCCCCTGCGAGGATGCGTGCAGCTTTAGCTAGGCGTCTATACCAGGATGTCTGCTTGTGCCCTTTCCTTCAATCCAGGTGTATTTATTTATTTATTTGTGGCACTGGTACCCAGCGGGGGATCTGAAGGATATCTTGATCTCTTTACTGTCGACATCTCATCAGGCACCAGGTACCTTTACAAAGTACCAGCCGTCCCTGTGTACCAACACATATTTTGAGGTAGGATTTTGTAATCTTATGTTGGGCTCATTTCTTCTGTGGATGGAGAGTCCTGCAGTGGGTCTTTGGGGTCAGATGGAGTGCTGGGACCTCCTCCGGACCACTCCAACAGTCCCACATCCTTCTGGTGCTGGGGGCCCCAGATCTGGATGCAGGACTCCAAGTGGGGCCTCAGGAGGGCAGAGTAGAGGGGAACAATCACCTCCCTCCCCTGTTGGCCTCTCATCTGCTACTGGGACACGTCTGTCCCATCCTGCACCCTTTTTGCCCTGCCATTTAGGAGGCTCTGCTGCATCTGTAGGCGTTTGCAGCCAGCACCAACGGGGGTGTGAGAGGGACATGGCAGTAGGCAGCCTAGTTATAACCTGCCTAGAGGGAATTTTCTTCCTAACGCCTATTTAGTTCATAATAAAGATATAAATTAAAAAAGGTGCACAAGGCACTATTCAAATGCAGCAAGCACTTGTCATATTGAATAAACTGGAGCCCTCACTGGTATGGAGGTGTAACTATTTACTGGAGGCACTCATCAGATAAAAATACGACCCGGTGTCTCCAGTTGAGGCCAGTCAATGGCAGGTGTGATGGTAAAGCTATGTCAATTTTTCCTTCCCCTCTCGACTGTCCTTTTAGCGTGTTAAAACAAAGAAATAAGTGGTCATTACTTTACCTATGACAGTTGACTTTTTTTGTTTTTGTTTTTCATCCCCCTGCTCTAATGGGCTGCAGGTGTTTCACAGCCAGCACAAGCTAACAAGGACAGACGTTCTGGCGGCATGCCAAAATTATAAAACTGTCCAGGGAAAGAAGAAAAGAAAAGACAAAGCGTGTGGGGGGAGCAGGGGTGGGAAGGAAGGAAAAAGAAAGCACGGGAGTCGCTCCATGCTGAGATTTTGTACTTTTGTGTCTCCTGAAGTGAATACATCAGTGAGGAATCAAAGGTTTTAAAAAGTCATTCAGCCCCTCCAAATTAGAAGGCGAGCCATCTGCACGACAGGATGGAGCTCTCCTCAAAGGCTGCAGGCCAGGGCTGGTCTCAGTGACCCCAGGGTAAGCCTGGAGTAGCTCCACCAGGGTTCCAACCAGCTTGCCCAGGAGCTCGGATTCTGGCTTGGTACACGTGTCCTCCTGCCAGAATCACATTTTGGACCCAGGCTTTTAATGTTGTATCACCATAGTGATGGGCTCTTCTGTTTCAGAGCAGATGAGGAATTGCCGTGGGGTTGTCCAATGTTAATTAATTCCTTTTAGGCAAAATTTGAACTCGGTGAAAACTACAAAGCCAAGACAGCCCCTTTGGATCTCCGCAGCCTCTCACCCTCTTTGATTTTTGTGATGTCTTGCCCTCGAGTCCCACATGCCGCAGCAAATCCCTTGTGTTTTCTGGAAGTTAGATGGAAAATCAATGGGAAGGAAAGATGCTCTGCATGAGAACTGAAAACATGCACGTGTCCTTACGGCTTAGCAGATAATGCTGCTTGGAAAGCCTGGGTTGTGATGCAGGATCCCCAAGGTGCTCCGTATTTGGGTAGGAGCCAAACAGCTGCCAGGAGAAGGCAGCACAAAGGAAAGCTGGACCTGAGGCACCGTCTGGCTCAGACCGTTGGCTTGGATTGCCATAAGGCATTGTGCCTAGTGGTGAGAGGTTTGCATCTCCAAACCTGCATTGCTGATGTCTGTGTGAGTGCCTCGGGGCTGTCTCTCACCTCAGGTACCTCAGGCAGGATGCTAAAGGTAAGTGAGATGTGTCCAGGCCTAAGGGCACGTCCATGAGGAGAAATAGATCCCTAAGCTAGTCCTGATTTCAGTTAGTTGTGGTGTGAGGTCACACAGATGCTCTGAACCCAGAAACTGGATTACTCATGTAAAACCAACATGAATGTGTCTTCCTCTACACTGCTCAGTGTTTCTGGGACTGGAATACCATCCTCAGACACAACTGGGGCGTCCCTGACCCCACAGCACAGACCTACCCTTGGGCCACATCCAGAAGGATGCCAGAAGATGTTAACCAACCCACTAAATGGTCCAGGGTCCAGATATCACAGCAAGGGACACATCTGAAGTAGATTTACTTTGCTGGGTTTAATATGACAGATCTCAACCACAAATTTCTTATCCAGATTTGTTTGGAGCCAGGATTTGGTTCAGGCCAAGTGTTTTGCTTTGTTTGTTTATCTCGGATATGTTTTTGGATGCTTAGCAGGAAAAAAAAAAAAAAAGCCATAGCTGATGAATGTTTATTATGTTCATTTCAGATCTCCTTTTGGCAGCTGGATAAGAAGGGAATGCCACCACAAAGGAGGGATCGTCGAGGCAAGGTTGAAGTCATGCTCAACGGCAGCAGCAGTGCTGTGCATCGCACATGTCACCGCCGTGATCGGTGAACTTCTCCCCCAGAGGGACTCTCAGACCTCTGTGAGTAGCATCCATGATAACTACATCTGGGCATGCATACGGTTTTAAAGGTGATAAAAATCCCACAATTGAAAATCACTTGTTTCAGAAAGGATTTACACTGTTGTAAGACTTAAAAAAATTTAAATTGTTTTAGGTCAAACAATTTCTAGTAATGAAATGGTTGATGAAAAGATGCTTCAGAAAGTGCTTTGTAATGAAGCAAACTGAGACGTCTTAGGATTTTCTGCCTTTTTTTTTTTTTTTTTTGATGGCCTTTAGGTATTTGCATTAACCCTGATGGGTGCTTTGCTTGGAAAAGGATGTGAGCTCTGACTTCTGATTGACCAAGTGCTGAGAGTGCTATGAGATCTCTGAAAAATATAAATAATTATAATAGTGGTAGTGAACCGAAGCCTATCAAAACCTTTCATGGTGGCTTAGAAATCCAGGAATTCTTTTGCTCTCTGATTCACTCCATGAAGTATGCTGTGCTTTGATTTCTGTCTGTTGATGCCAGTGATGTGCTACGATCTCGGGCAGTTCCTAAGAAATCAAATGCAATTTGCTTTCTTTGAAATAGTTTCAGATAGGGCCAGATATTCAATTGGTGCCAACCTGTGCCTTGAGTGGCTTCAGGAGAAGTTATGCCCTAATCTGGCTGTCTAAATTTGACTCACTCGTGCTCAAAAGTTTAAGTTCCTTGCTGTTTCTATAACCAGGACTCAGCTTCCTTCAGTTAACTTCAACACGGTTTATGCATCTTCAGCTGCTGAGAAGACCAGGTGCCAGTATGAACCACTTCATGTTTGTGGCTTACTTGGAGTCCAAAAACCTTTCAGGTGCATAGCATTTTGTAGTGTGGATGCTCCAGAGCAGTTCTTATTCTCTCATACTCTGTGTGCAAACCGTTAGTTGTAAATTTCTCCTAACACTAAGCGTGTGTCTGGGTAGCCTGGATCACAGCCCTGTTCTTCCCAGCAAATCTTTGGGTCAGGGGAGAGAAATAAGGTGGTGCAGAAGGCAAGTCAGACTTTGGGCAGATTGAATATTGCTCTGATAGTGCCTGTTTCTCCTGAAATCACAGGCCAGGGCACAGCAGGAAGGGGACAGATTCGGGGCATCCCTTCAGGCTTTTGAACACACCGCAGAGAAAGCCTGCCAGATCTCTGCATGGGGTGTCCTGGTGCGGGAGCTCTTGTGGAGCTGGTATGCAAGCCACATGCACTTGGGGTGGTGAGGGCATTACTTCATTTTCTCTTCTTCTGAAGCTTATCTGAAGGGGAGGGAACTGTAGAGGTTATCTTCTGAGTGGAAAAACTGATCTCAAGTGCGTGTGTTTAAAGCTAGCAACAGTTTGAGCCATGTAAACTTGCCTGAATAGGCGTGTGAGGCCACACCGTCTGACTGGGCCTCACTGGGCAGCAGGGTGCTTGCCAGCACCTGAGGGTTTCTGTAAGGGTATGATGAGCTGAGAAAACACTACAGAGAGGTGGAATTGGTATGAGCCAGGTTTGGCATTTTACTACGTAGTGGCAGCAACAAAAGGCCCTATATAGGGGTGGGTGAAATCAGCTTTGGAGACACTGCTGATCTTCTGCGGAGTCCAAGGTGATCAGACCCTTAACAAGGGGCCTCAGCTCATTGCCTGCATCTTGTTGGGATGGACGTGAGCTGAGCTGTGGTGTCCCCATGTCACACGTGTGACACCTTGCAGCGAGACAAGGCATGGCCCAGGTAAATCAGCAGGGAGAATCCTCACTTCTCCTGATGGGTTGTGAAGAAGAGGCTTTGCAGGCTGCCAGCCGTCGAACGCTGCCAGGTAGTTTACAGGCAGGGGAGAGGATCTACAGAGTTGAAGGAGGGCAAGCTGATAGCTTTACACATTTATTTCCAGGGGTTTGCTTTGCTTTGAGGCAGTGCCCCTGGTCTGGGTTCCCCAGCTATCCACCCAGCACATCACAGACACTGCAGGCAGCACACTGGGGATCAAACCATGAGTGCTGGAGCGTGGCCTTGAAGCTGTTGTGCCTGTGCACAGGCTGCCAGCGAGAAATGGAGCTGCTTTATGCTGCCTGACGGCAGGGCCCTACAACCCGCTACCTGCGGCCCTCTGCCCGGTGCCAGCAGGTGCCACGCTTCCTCCCGCTGTTCTCCTGACTTCCAGCATTTCATCTTTGCTCGCGCCGCCGTTTCTCATCCTTCTGTCTCTCTCCCAGGCCTCGGTGTCTGTCTGTTCGGAGTCTCGGCCTTGTTTGCTGCTGTCCTGGTGCCAGAAATGTCCGTCCAAGGCGATGGAGCTGCCTGTGCGCGGCAGGACTCGTGCTCGCTGGCTCCACCGTCTGGACCTGGCCCCGAGCACAGAGCTCAGCAGCCCCTAACAGGTCCCCTTGCTTTCTCTCCAAGAACATGATTAGAGGTTTGAAACTGAGCAGACAGCTGGTATACTCTCCCAGGGCAGCCTCTGTGTCTGGGCCTCCATTGTTTTTGTCCAAATCGTATCTGATTGCTTTCCAAAAGCGTTCCAGTCCGTAAAACCAGACCAGGTGCCTTTGGTTGTATTCATTCCTGAAATACCAGCTACGAACAGAAGCATTTTGGATTGGTCTTAGAATGGGTATAAAATTAATTTCAATCTGGAATGCTCCACCCCCCCAACCCCCCCTCTTATTTAGAGCACTTGAATCTTCCCTTGCTCTTTCCAGACAGAAAAATGACCTTTTTCAACTTAATCCTTGATCTTGTACCCGCTTTACTGTGTTCTCTTTTACTAGATCATCAAAACAGCTTCATGCCATGCTGGTCTCTGAAATCTGACCTCTAAATACATTCTTTGCACCTTGACCTTGTTTTCTTTTTACATAGACTAAAGCAAGCAGCGAGACAGATGCCAGGTTTTACTGCAATGTGCTTTCCCATTCTGCTCGGTAATTTGCCAGAAATGAGGAAAAAGCAAAGGCAAACCTTACCTTGCCATCCAAAATAGGTGGAAGGGTTTAAACGCTCGGGTGGGCACTGAGTCTTGGTTTAGATCTCCATCCCTTTAACTGCCAGGCTAAGTGCTTTGTCCTCCAGCCTGCCCTTCATCTCAGCAGCATGAGCAGTAGCCCTGGCACCGGGGCTGCGGAAGGGCTCCCGATGCTGCCAAGGAGATGGGCCCTAGTTACGGAGCGGAGCTCTGCCAACCTTCTGTGCTGGGGAGTTTGCAAACTTCCACAGCGCATCTGTTTTATTTCAGAGCATGGATTGCACTGAATAGTCCTTTTGTGTGCTCTGTCTCCAACTACCAACACTGGCTCTGAAGAAGCCAGTGATAAATATGACAGCTCCTGTTAGTGACTATCCCCTGGATGCTACGGCCTGACCTGCGCCCACCCTCTATTACCTGCAATTAATAATGTTTGTATTGCTGCTTCAGCTTCATTTATTACCAGAGATGGGCCAAATGCGCATGGAAAGCTTTTCTGTGCCTCTGCATTCAGGGTCATTTGGAGGCCCACAGATGGGACAGGCCCTTTGCCACCGAAGCGTTTACCCCAGCCGAATGCCACAATGTTCCGCGTATCATTCAAGGGGAAAATAATGATGCTTAAAATGGCAGGAGAGCGTTACAAGGTAGGCTGAGTGGCACAACTGCAGATGGGCAAGCTGCATACCTGCTGAAGGAGGTTCTGCAGAGGTAGGCTCTGTCCCTATTCCCCATGGGACATCGCCTTCCAAACACAGATTTTCCTTGTGGGTTCAGAGAACTACAACATTAACCCTGAGCAGTCCGGTGTGGTGTTAAATGGCCGTCATTTTGTGTTGTAAAAGTACTTCCTAGTGGCATGAGAAATGGCTTTGTGTAGGCTACCACTGGCTGAAGGTGTGTGCACATTAGTATATCCACAGCGAGGGAACACAGTGTTCCTGCTGCTGTTGTACCTGGTGTTTGTCATCGCCCGACTGGGAGCATCAGGTCCCAGTAAGCAGTGTTAGGAGGAGAGCTGTCTCACTGCACCTCTGAGCAGTCTTTGAAGTGTGAATCAGGGTTTCCATCAGTTGAGCTTATCTCCAAAAAGTGATCGTTTTGGAAAACGTGCCCCATTTTGTTTGTATTTGAACGCAGGCACCAGAACGAAGTGTGTGTGCCTCTAGCACTTGCAGTTCAGTTGCTGGACTGTCACCAGTTCAAGCCATCACCCAGCGAGAGTCCCTGGAAGCCCAGCTCTCCCCGTGCTGTCTCTGGACAGTGTTTGACTAGACTGCTTTTATCTCTCCAGCCTGTCTGTGGGAGTTGAATCTTTGTACAGAGACTGCATTGCTTGGCATCTAATCTGCACTAGTTGACTCAGTCAGCCTCCGAAGGCAAGGGGGGAGGGAGATAAGTAGGAGGAAAAAAGGTGGGAGTGGAAAATAACATATTTGAGGGGACAGCAGGAAGTCTAGGCTCATTCGCATCTTGGGAATTGCTCAGGACATAACCAAGTGAGTGTTTCCTGATCCCCTCTCTTTTTATTTTTATTTTTTCTTTCTGTTCCCCCTGTGGGCCAGGAGGAAAGGATGCCTGGTAGGGCACGGCTGGGAGAATCCCAACAAGGGTGATGCCCTTAGCGAATGTCACTAGAAAGCCAAGTGTCCCAGGTGGGTGGCAGTCCTGACCCACCAAAACAGCTTGGCCACGGTGATTTTCTTTACACTGCTCTCTGTGGTACCTGGATTTCCCCCAAAGATCACCCATCCAACCCAGCCTGTGTTTATGCAGAACTCGGGCAGAGTTCTCTGTGTGGAGGATATTGGAATATATTTGCTTGTTATTGTTTTATTTTATTTTTTTTCTGGATTAAGATGGAGACTAAATGAGGTTGGCTGGTGAGGGAAAGAAACCAGGAAGGATTTCTGAAAGATAAAAAGTGTTGCTGGCTTTGGATAAGAGGGATGGGGATTGTTTGGGGCCTGTAGGATATCTGAGAAGAGGTGCCCTTGTACAGGTGGAGCTGTAAAGTACTTTGGGACACCTCAGCATAAAAGTTGCCACGTGA